CCCTCTGTGAGGTGGATTGATTCAGTGACTGGGATAATCAGGATAGGTGTGTCAGAGACGTGAGATTGGCACAGGATAGAGCAGGGGTTAGTGCTATTGTACATAGGGTCGCTATGCGTTACAGGCGACTCCACGGCACATAACAACAACAATGTGGTGAGTAGGGAGCGCTGGCGGTCTCATTAATAGGGAGTTATGTTGCTAACCCAGAGGCAGTTCTCTCAGCCAGTTGGAATCTGTAAGTGGCTCCAGGGGATGGTCAGTCACCTCCTGTGTGATTTACAGCCTTGGAAAACCTGCTGGAGGACTGACTATGAGTCACTCTGATTAGATGACAATGAATTTAGATTTGAGTTTTTGGTGAAGTGACTGAAGTCTTAAAAGTTTCGAGCAGCAGGGAGCTCTGGTGGCCTAGTGGCAAAAAACTGCACTGCAATCCCAAATCTACCAGATGCTTTGCTGGACAAGCATCCAGCTAAGGGGTGCTTATCCAGAGAAGGGATAATCTCCTCCTGTGCCAGTCAGATCGGATTTGATGACACACACACAAACAATAATAAAATTAAAAAAAAATTAAAAAGTTCGATGTGGTATATTCACACAATGGAATACTATGCTGCACTGAAAAACAAGGAACTCATACAATATTACTCAAAATGGGTGGCTCTGAAGGACATTTTTCTGAGTGAAATATCTCAGTCACAAAAGGACAAATACTATATGGTGCCACTGTTGTAGAATGAGGCTGACATCAGGATGGGGGTAAGACTGAGAAAAACTGGATAAATTATGTTTACTGCATTGAAGCCGATGAGGGAGAGAATGGTTTAAAAGCACTATATTTTAGGGCATTATGATCATCATAAGAGTCTGGAATGAGAGTTGCAGAGTGGAGTATACTCGAGGTGGGGGTGGGGGTGTGCGGGGGGATTGTGTACCAATGAAGGAGTTTTTCTTTTGCTTTTCAAGGAGAAGAGCAAACTGGGGGTGGGGTGGGCAGGGAGAAAAATGCAACAATGAATGAATGGAAATCCAAAATCTCTGTAAATGTTCATTGAAATTAATTAAAAAAAAAGTTCGAGCAGCCACATAAGGTACAAATGTTGGTTTCTCCCTGTGTAGAACAAGGAAGGAGAAAGAAAAGCAAAGACGCATAGAAACAATTAGACTAAAGGACTGGTGGGCTACTTGAACCTCAATGTCCAACATCCTGAGAGCAGAAGAAGCAGATGGAACTCAGTCACCACTGCTGACCACTCTGGAAAGGATTACAGTAGAAAGCCTGACTAAAGTAGGGGGAAATGTGGAACAAAACATAAAAATGGCCAGCCTTTAGCCGTCCTTTGAACCTGAAACAAAACACACACTTGTAGTTCGCACAATTTTGTTTAGTCAAAGAATATATCTACTGGCCTATAAGGTGAACAATAATATAAGGAAGGCATTCACTTCTTAGAATAATTAATCACATAAGATCAAAAGAGCACCATTAACTCAGGGCTAACCTTGAGAAGAATAGGAATCCCAGAACACTTAATTGTGGTCATGTGAAACCTATACTTGGACCAGGAAGCAGTTGTCAGAACAGAGCAAGGAAACACTTTATGGTTCAAAATCAGGAAAGGAGTGTGTCAAGAATGCATCCTGTTTCCATACCTTTATTTTTTTTTAAGTGTTCATATCTTTAAGCTTATTTTATTCTTTTAAAAAATTTATTTTATTTTATATTGGTTTCTCAATACCTTTTTCACTCTATATTCGGAACAGATCATTTGGGATGCTCGACTTTATGAGGAGAAATGTGGTGTCATCAACAATCTGCATTATGCAAATGACACAGACTTGCTTACTGAAACTAAGAAGGACCTGAAGTGTATGCTGCAGAAGTCAATATGGACTGAAGTTCAACATCAAGAAGGCAAATCTCACCACTGGGCCAACTTTCAGCACTTTAAAAGATAGAGAAAAAAAAAATTTAAAAAAAAGATGGAGAAAAGCTTGAGGTTGTTAACAATTTTAGTTGGTTCAGCTCCACAATCAATACTCTTGGCACTGAGCAGTCAAGAGTATCAAAAGACAAATTATATTAAGGATATATTCTCTCAGTGACTTCTACAAAGTGCTAAAGATCAACAATGTCAGTTTAGAGGCTGAGATGTGCCTGAAGGCTATGGCCTTTGCAAGTAGTTGGTGTGCATCAGAAAGCTGGACAGTGTCTAAGGATGACAGAAGGAGAATCAATGCTTTTGAGTCGTGGTGCAGGAAAAAAGTATCGTACATACCATGGGCCACCAAAAGCACAAGCAGTGCTCTCTTGGAGAGGGTGAAACAAGGCTCCTCCTTGAAGGTAAGGGTTTTGAAGCTCCATCTCACCTATTTTGGTCCTTAGAGAAGGACATCATGCTTGGAAAGGTAGAGGGACAGTGCAAGAGAGGAAGATCCTGGATGAGATGGATTGACACAGTAACTAGGATGATGGGGCTAGATGTGTAGGAGACAGTGAGACTGGCTTAGGATAGGGCAAGCTTGGTTCAGAGTTATTGTACATAGGGTCACTATGAGTTGCAGGTGACTCAATGGCCCATAACAACAACAACAAAGGCCAGCAGGCAGGAAAAGGTAGGCTAGGATTATCACAGGGAATGAGAATCACAGGGAGGAAGTGGGAGAGTATAGTTACATTTCAGGAATTAGAAATAATATAAAACAGAATGGGTATGAGTACTTAAATGTAATACCAATTTATTTTGTAATCTTTCACTAAAATAACAATAAAAGGAGAAAAATATAAATGAAGGAAAGGGGATAGCAACTTACTAAACAGAAAAAAGAAGGGAAATATTCTTTTTAGTTTTAAATTGAAGGGTGTGGAACAACCTTATAGTATCTGTGTTTCAAGAAGACCAGAAATAGGAAGACCTTAACCAGTTACTGTAGCAATGGACGTTGAGTGTGTTTGAGATTGTGAAGAAGGCACAGAATAGGATAGGGTTCAGATCTGTTGTTCTTAAGGGCTGCTATGAGTCTAACTCATCAGCACCTAACAACAACAACAAAAACACATAGTGTTGTTGTGTACTATCAAGTCACAACCAACTCATAACTGACAGAGAGTGTTTGAGTGACTTTTAACCTTTCAGTTAGTGACTGAGTGTTGAACTGTTTGTGCTATTCATGATCTCCTTAAAGAAGCCTATTGTTGTGGAGTACCATCGAGTAGGAACTGATCCATAGCTGACCCTCCAGTGGGTTTTCTTTCTTTCTTTTTTTTTCCCCCAGTGGGTTTTCTAAGGCACTTAACTGCATGGGAGGAGATTGCCAATCCTCCCATAAAGAAGCCTAAATGCCATACATTCTCTTATTACACCTGAGTTCTTCCTTAAGATTTGGAATCATAATCAAGAGATGGAAGAGCAATTTAGAATTCATTAATCACAGCACCCAGCAGTCATAGGACATGTCAAGTGTCTAATCGTGGTGATGAT